ATTATTCATTCAATTGTTGTTTGTATTCAACACTCAATCACTTCTTGTGGTTATTCTTCCACTTCTTATGAGACAATAGTTTGCTTTCAATTCATTTAAATCTATAATAAAAATGTAAATAATATTAAAATATAAAACAAAATAACAATTAATTAATCAATTAATTAAATAATACTTACATTTAAACCAATTTTACAAATGAATTAAACTTTTATATAAAAACACAAAACATTGAAAACAATCAAACGTTTGATTATTTAATTAAAAGTGAATTAAATGTGAAAACAATGAAAAGTAAATGAAATTAATGTCAAAACAAATGCTCTGAAAAAGCGTTGATTTGATGTCAACTGAAAAACACATTCAAAACAACCAATCATTCAATAGTTTTCAATACAAACGGCGCTCTCTTTTGGACACTATTACTAATTATAAGTTAAGAAACTTTTCATAAACTTTTTGCCATTAATTAAATAAAAACCATTTATTAAGTGAAATAATTTTAAACAAATAAATTCAATACAAAACTATGTTTTATTTTCTTTACATTTTGTGGAAACAATTTAATGATTAAATTCAATATAAAGTTAATATAATTTTGTGTTATAATGAAAGCCGTATCTCCGGTGCGGCTGCGGTCGGGGCGGCCACTCATCCAATATCTCATAGCCATCGGGCAGATCATTAGTGCTATCGGGTGGCGGCTCTGATGGACACAAGTATTTGCCGACAATACTGTTTAGTTGTTTACTCTTTGGGCGCTTAGGCGGCGGTGATTGGGAGGCGTCTGATTGTCGGCCCCTTTTGTGGACACCACTGACCGGTGGCTGCGCTTTGATTGAAAGCCTGGCGTATATACCGGTGGTTCGGCCGATACGGGGGTCTCGGTTCGCACCCTTCGATGGCCGCCGACTAGTCATCCGATTATCTTTCACCGGGTCTTGAGTTAGTTTGGGAACTGATTGATGGGACAGTCGGCCAAACATCGGCACTAAAAGCTCGTGTATGGGCTGGAGTTGGGGTCTATAGAAATAGGAGTAGAGACCGTATAGTCGGCCGATCCTCGGGTCGGGTATATCCGTGCGGTTAATGTTATATGATTTCCCATTTGAACACATTATAGACGATTAAATTAAACACTTATTTAGTTTTAAAGTTAAATAATTATGATTTAATTGATTTCATTCGTATAATTTTGATTTGATTAAAATTAATGATTAATTAATTGTAATAAATGACAGTTAGGCTAATGTTTTGTTGTAATTGTAAATGATTTTAAGTTTTATAATACAATTATAATAATGGTTTAAATTAATTATTTATATCTACTTTTATGCATATCTCGCGAGCGCTTTGTTGTTATTATTGACATTTAAAAGTTATAAACAGTTTATTTAAATACAAGTTAATCACAAAAAAGTCAATTACTGTTAATAACTGTCGGTTTGAAACATAATTAAAACCAATTTGTGATAACTTTGACCAAAATGCTGAGCACAAGCCATACCTCACTTGTGTTGGGAATGGCGGCGATTGTGATCACACTTTGCGTGCAATACATAATGTGTGATATAATTGATGGCAAAGTAGATGATACCGAATCTAAGGTCTTCGTCGGACTCTCAATACTGACAATAATTGTAATGATTTTAACGCTATTTGTGTTTTGGATTCAAAAAATAAAGTTAATGAAAGTATCGTTTGGTGTTAACATCGCGTTCACAGTTGTACTCATTATTTATTGTATTGTACTTTATAATAGCGATGGTATGTATTGATAATTCACCACTAGTTTGACAAATTTAGATTCAATTGTAAATTGATTTGAATTTTAAGGACAAAAAGAGTCAATACGGAAAACACGGGCAGTGGTTCTAACAATTTGTCAAATGGTTTTGTCTGCCATTCAATACATGATCGGAGTCTTAATGTTTAGAAACTAAATACTAATTAAAAATTATAATTGTATTGAATTTATTATAAAAAATAAATATTTATCTTATTTTTAATACAATTTATTGGGTTTTTAATACTTGTTTTTAATGAATTGAAATTACAATAAGTTTTGCTATTAAAAAATATTTGGAAAAAACAAAATCAATGAAAAATTACAATTAAATCAGTGTTTAGTGAATAATTACTACAGCAATAGGGATAGGACTGGAAAAGAGGTATATGTGTTGAGACATTGAATGCTATACTAAAGTATAAATTAATATAAAATTTTAAATTACAATTGTATTAAAAGTAATGAAACAAATTATGCGATAATTAGAGCTCAGATAATAACAGATATTTTATTCCAAGTCTTCATTAATCTCTTATAATTTACATTCAAACGAATATTTAGATTAAAATTAAATTAAGAGTTATATTAAATGTGATATAATCTATAGTTATATCTGAATACAAATAACGTATTAATTAAATAAATGTAAAAAAATTTTACAATTATTTAAAATAATGTAAACTATAATTTAAAAATATTAATAAAAATGCTTATATTATAGGAATTAAAATTAAATGATCGTTAAATGAAAACTATTTTTCATTCAAATGATCACATCTTTTGTGTTGAAATAAATGCTGTTTTGTTGCGATTATTGAAATGACAAATAAATCGTTACTTTAAATGAATGTTAGTTTAGGTTATATAATAATGTAAAAATTTTTCTACAAATGTTTTTCGGGAAATAAAATGTTTGAATCATTAACAAAATGTTCGCAATTTTCTTCATTACGTTTGAATTGTTTTTCCATTACGTTGTAAATGATTTCATTCAAATGGTTTTTCTCCCGAATGAATTCGTTTGTTGTGTTTAATTAGATCGCGTTTATCAGTGAAAGCTTTCCCACAATTCTCTTCATTACATTTAAACCGCTTTTCTTTCAAATGAAAACATTTTTTGTGTCGAATTGAAGTGAATTTTGTTATAAAACTTTGATTACAATCATTGAAATCACATTTAAATAGTTTTTCTCCCGAATGACAGCGTTTGTGTTGTTTTAGATTTACTTTTATACTAAAACTTTTGCCACAATTTTCTTCATCACATTTGAATGGCTTTTCTTTCAAATGAACGCAACTTTTGTGTTGAATTAAATTTGATTTCTGTTTAAAGCTTTGATTACAATCATTGAAATCACATTTAAATTGTCTTATATTTGAATGAATTAATTGATGTGTTTTTAAATTGCTTTTATCAGTTGTCTTATATTGACATTTAGGCCAAAAACAGTGAAAATACTTATTATTATTATTAATTGCAATCATATGATCACTGATTTTAAATGTTTTGCAATCAATTGTTTGATTCAAATCCAAATGATTTAATGATTCAATCGTTTCATTCAAATCACTATAATTTGTATTCAAAATGAACTGAAATTTGTTTAATTTTTGACAAAAACTTTTGATTGCTTTCAACTGATCCTTCATTTCAATCAAATCCATGTCTTTGTGAGTGATTTGATTGATTTGATGCCACGTTTGGCTGTCGTTGTCTTCGGTGGCCATCACTTCATCGACTCGTCGATTGTGTCCACACTTTCTGAGACCACTTCACCACTCATTCAAGTATTGATTCCCCGAAACTGTCCGTCACTTCACATCTAAACCACAGTTAAGTTAAACACAAATAATTGAAAATGTGTTGAAAACAGACAAACGATTAATAATTACAACAAAACTGAAAATAATTTTAATCACAACTGAATTTACATTTAAAACTAAAAACAAATTACATATCATTTAAAGTCTAAACAATTAAACAATTGATTGGCATTTGTTTACAACTATTGATATTTCAATATTAATCTATAAGTCTGTTACACTTCATAATGCATTTTTATAACCCCTAAAGTTGTACTTAGTTGTAATACATTTACACATCATTTACACCAAACCCCTCCCCCTTCACACCACTCACTCAAATTTCGTCACGTTTTATATGAATGTTTGCCTTATTTTACAACAAATTGTTGTTTTTAGTAGAGATGTGGGCATTGATTGACTGACTTTCACTTCACAGCCCTTTCAATGCATTCAGTCTTTCATTCAATACTCTTTGCATTCAAACGCATTGAAAAAGTTTTCAAAACTAAAATCTCTTTAAATTGGGAAAAATGCCAACAATTAAAATGTGATGCTATTATTAATAATGTTATTGTCTTCTAATAAACTGTATTTATTATCGTCTAAATTAATCATTGTTAAAATACGAGTAAAATGAGGCGCCGGTCGCGCGTATCAAACAATTACAAATGCATTACAAAACTGTTAAAAATCATTCAAAAACACAAAACTGACACAAATTCTACACTTTTGATCGCAAACATGATTTCAATTATCATAAAAATCCTATTTATGGCAAACATCCTATATATGGATCAGTTGTGGTGCAAACCATTGGCGCCCAAAGAGTTTGAAAACACGACCGCCTGTTACTACCATAACGTGGTCAGTGTTTTTAAGCTTAAGAATACACTTTTCTACCAGGTGAAAAGCAGTGGACAGTCCAACACCGAACTGGTCCGCTGGGAGTCCGCCTCTCAAGTAGACCCCGACCATCAAACCTATATTCCTAAAGATAATTACCTCCAAATGAAGTCCGGCTCGTATTTACAGCAATATCTTCACAAATATGAGAGTTTCTGTAAGTTTTGTTTGTTTTAATTTAAATGCGATTTTTTGTGTTTTTAATCCGTGTGTTGTTTGCAAACAAAGCTCTTAGAGATAAAATAACGGCACATGTATTGCCCGAACTGTTCAATTGGGATAAGTCTAAAATGGTTTGCAGTAATCCTATCGATGTTCAGCTCTGCGGCTATTATACCGAAGTATTTAACACAACTATGGTTGAGATTGTCTGCGCTTACAGACCCGACACAGGTATTCATTATTAACACTTAGTGTGAGTGAGTGAGTGAGTGAGTGTGAGAGAGAGAGAGAGAGAGAGAGAGAGAGAGAGACTTAAATTGTTGTTTAAATAATGATTTGTGTGCCAATAGTTGATAAACCGGTGGTTTTTCTGTACAATTTCAATAACTACACGATTACTGGCATTTCGGGCGGATTTGTCTCACATTTTGTGAACGAATGCTTCCGATATCTAACGGAAACGTTTCCACTGAATTACATCCCAGAGTGGAGACAATTGGTGGCCGTTATGCTCGCGGAGGACAACGGCGATAGTCCTCATCGCGCGAACGGAAGTATCGCTATATTCAGACGCATAGACCCGAACACCAATACATTAGAGAACTTGCATTATCTGAGCGAAGACATAGACGGCGTAAAAGCTAACTATGATTTAGGCAATGAAACCGAAATGATATCACTTATCAAATACAATAAGATCTATACGAACAACACGTGGAGAGTGTGGGGTTGCGGTGAATACTGTTCACTCAAAACACCGTTACATGAAATCACAATCGAAACGACCAGCACTCAGAGTACGATTCGCTATAATGTAAACCAGGTAAAAAATTATTTTACACTCTCGATGCTGTTTGTTGTTGTTTTTTAATCGATATTTTATTTACATTTTAATTGTTATTTGTGTTAAGGATATGACTCACGACCTGTTTCTGCGGTGCGACGAACGCCGGGCGCCGTTTACTCCGTTTGACTTTTGCGACCAAAACTACGATTTCGATAATATATTGAATTTGGGATCCGATCTATACTTTCAACGAAACTCTAGTTTTTGGCGATTAAGAGATTATGGATTCACTGCCGACTCGTATCCGACGGGTTCTCCACTCAAATCGCAAAACATTCAAAATCTGGTTTTCGACTCACACTTCGGCCCATTCCTCGAGACCGAAGGCTTTGGTCTGTGTTTTCAATAGACTATTTAATTTTCAAAATGCATTCATTACTTGTGTTTTTAATGATATCAATGACTCCCTCACAGACACGACTCAACGGGTGTTTGGCTTCTCATACAAAGCGATCGATCGGTTCCCGTGCGGACACTTGATCGACAAAGAAGACTATTACCAGTGTTTGGACAAGTATAGAAAGTCGCCGTACTTTCACAGCGTGTGTTTGTACGGCACAGTTAGCCGAGTGGGGACAGCCGTACCCGTGTTTAGCATAGATAACGGGTATTACAAGTCATACATTCACACACCGGGAGGTCTGGAGCGACCGAACGTCACGGAAGACGGCCGACACCGACAGTTCTGCAAAGCCGTCTCCGATTACGTGCGGTTCGACGAGGAATACGTCGGCACCGGATTCGGTGTCACACATATCACGGGATATAAGTCTGGAAACTCGGGACACAACCAGATATTGATCGCCCAAACCATAGCCAAAGTCGATGGCGCGGACATCCATCTAATGGACACCGTATTTGTCGTGTATTCAATGGCTTTTGAGGATTACTATATGGCAAACAGCCATTCGTTGAATTATAAAACATTTGACGTGAACCTCAGAGCCACCCGTAAGGTGTTCAGCATACCAGCCAACCATGACAACTTTATTGTCCACTCACTCATCCGATACAAACATGTTTCCTACTTATTGGTCGGTTACGGGCGTTCGCCGCACACCCGATATCTATACAAAGAGGACTTTAAAGGCAACCCCCGGCCGGTATGTCTGCCCCCAAAGTGTTGCCACAAAATGGCTTTTAATATATTGTATGCTTTTATTGCCATATATTTAGGGAAAGGACCCAAGATTTCCGATCGAATTATTGGTATTTATAAATCATTTTTATTATTATAAAACAAAAACTGTATTTAAATCACTATTGAATTGAATAGTTTAACGATAACAATGAAATAAAGTGGTCAGAAGTGGTCACGTGTCCCATAGATGTGATGAGATATTCAGTGGTCAGTAACTACTTGGAGGGCCTGCTCTGCTTCGAGAAACCCACATATAATCGATATTTACATCACAGTGTGTTCAATATCGGTCCGCGACTATACCATCAAACGGGCCGTTATTTCTATTATTACGATATAATGAGAAAGAGATTTATTTTTGACAGACATGTGACCGAACTATTGGCCACTTATTTCGGTAATTAAACTATCAATATATAAAATTAATATATTTTTATTTTAATAATCAATTCAATTGGCAGACACTCGACATCGTGTGACCGGGTATTCAATAGAACTAGATGGTATTCGCTTTTATGACGTGATCATTCACGGCAGGAGTAGTTACGCGCACCGACTGTTAGGCGAATACATTTACGGACTATTTATATATGTATACAAAGACAGAGACACGAAGACATTGATGCCAGTCGTCAAACCCAGTGACCATCGGTCTGATACAGTGGTGCCCCGATTACTGTTCACATTGGGCCCGAACTCGTATTTTGGCAAATATGACCATCAGCTGGTATTTTTGGCCTGGAAAGGCGTCGGGTTCGAGATGTATCAAATCGTCACCACGTTACAGGACCAGAATCTGAACAATATGACCATGGTGGTCCACCACGACCACGCGCAGCATGTCGATGGGATTCAGATATTTTTCCCATTCATCTCGTCCAGTAAGTCGAAAGTAGCCAACTATTACTACCAGGATAAGTGTCCGTTTGATAAGTTTATCGGCGCTTACTTTGATTACGATAACATCACCAAAAAAATAGGCGCATATTTAGTGGCAACCGATAACAAGAGTGATATTCTCTATCTGTTTAATATGTTAGACTGGAATCGCAAACCATATGTCGAAATCGCTTCGATGTATGAATTCAAGGTTTGTCCGCCGAATGAAACAACAATTTTAATGCAATTATTATATTGAATGCCTTTTACTTATTTACTTATATTAGAAGGGATTGTGGTCTTACTTCGTCACATATTGTCCACTGAGAGGTCCAGACGAATATGATTTTACCAATACTATATTGAGCTCAAATGAGACAAAACCTTCAAAAACATTGACTTATATTTTGGCAATACTTGTGTTGATTCTGATTGTGTCGACAATTATTGTCGCTTTCATTGCCTTTAAATTCAATCCAAACAACAGTCAGACCAACAAAAAGACCAAACAATAACTGATTCCCTATTTTGCAAAAGTATTGTCAAAACATTTTTTGAAACACTATTTTTGTTTTCTGTATTTACAGTTATATATATATATTTGTTCTCTAAATTGTAATTTGATTATTTTAAACTTATAAAACAAATAAAACCATAAAAACTAATAGAAAATGCATTTTATTTTTATTTATAGTATTTAAAATACTTTTGAAACTATTTTTTATCAATAATTGTAATGATTTTAACAATAATTGTTTTGTATTTAAAACACAGTCAATGAAAGTATGGTTTGTCATTAACATTGCGCTCACAGTTGTATTAATTATAAATTTTACTACAATTTTAAATATTAACATACAGTATATTTTAAATTAAACACTAGTACAATAATTTGTCAAATGTTTTGTCAAATGTCATTCAATGTTTACAAATTAAATACTAATTAAAAATTATCATTTTATTGTAAAAAATTTGTTTTGTTGTAAAAAAATTAATATGATAATTTTAAAGCAAATTATTTTTATTATGTATTTTTATTAATTGAAAGTATTTTCTATAAAAATTATCAAATAATTTTTTCGTTTCATAAAATTAACAAAAGTTAATATTTAATGTTAAATTGTGCTCATTGTCTACATGTATGTCTACATTTCAAATATAATCCCTTATATCAAACCGTATTTAACAATACTATCCATTTCTTCGGGTCCTAAATAACCGGTAAAACATTAAACGTTGGGATCAATCCGTGTCTTCACTCTTGGGATGTATTTGTTATTATAATTTCATTTAAACTCTTATGGAAAGGCATCGGAAGCCCAGCCATCACTTGCACTCTTATCTGAGCGCTAATTAAATTCAAACCACAAAAATCATTGCAAACCTTTCATTGAATATAAATCTCAGTTTTAACTATTGTTTCGGTTGTCTATAATATCATTGGTATCCATTGGAAGTGTCCTTAACTACAGTCGTCTCAAACGATCCCACGATATATTCATTTGGATTTTTGCCGTATTTGTTGATTAACACTAATAATCAATCAATCCATCCAATGGTTCCGTTGGCAGTATATCTGGTGAGAGTCGGTGAACGTACGGTCATTACTGCATATGGTTTACACTTCATATATCCTTTTACTAATACACTCGTAAACGGTTTGACTTGTATTTCGGATTTTAATGTAAACGATATCCGACGACAACCCCCTCTGAATAGGCATTTGATGTCCGGACATCACTTCCGACCCCTTTTCAACTTCGATCTAAGCGTTGATTAAACCAAACCAACAAAAGCCCAACTTTTCCTCCAATCCTTGTTTTGATGTGAGATGTGTTGAGAGATTCAAAACTACATAAGATTCCAGAATTTTAAATATAAATATCATGTTTTATTTTTTATTAAAATACTAACCATGGACATTTGCTCACCATTATATAAATATTACAAACCAGATGTTTATAATAACTACATTCTGTGCCATTGATATAAAATATATGATTTTCTCCAAATGAAAAGGCACCTAGCAATTCATAAACTGTTAGTATTTCCATAATCTTTACATTTGCTAAGTGCCTTTTCTTTTGGAAAAATTCATATTATTTTCCAATAGATTTGCCATAACATAGACAATGAGGACAATTGATTTAATAACAATGACAATTAATAATTGAAATTAAATAAATGATTATATATATTATTTTTGAGCTCTAATAAAAGTCGATCAATATTTTAGTTTAAACACACAATTACAAGTGATTTCAAACATTTAAAATCATTGCTTTATAAATGTTTGGTAAATAATTGAAATATTTATTCAAACTTTCATTTGTGAAAAAATATTTTGCATTTTATATGAATGAATTAATTTCCTATTAAATCAAACTATTTATTGTTTTAATTAAATGATTTATTAGGAAGTATTTATTATAAAAACAAATGCAAAAATACCATAATTTAAATAATTATAAATTTATAACAAAAATAATCAATTATTTTATTTGAGTAACAATTTAACGATTATCTAAAACTTTATAGTTTTAATTAATATTTGTTTGTTTAATATTGGCTTAAATGGAAACCTATTTTATTCACTATGAATCCGTGTAGCTAGAATTCTGAAATTGGTTTCATAATTTAAGTTGACATCCCTAGGCACCAGAATCAAAGTTTCATCAAGATCGGGTTA